CTATAGTTTATGAGGACAGCAGGTCTGCTGCGGCACAAAGCTTTATTAACTTCCAAGGGAGTGAGAAATTCTCTAATTTTGGAAAGGCACAGGATGAATCAGCCTGATTTCAGCCCAGTGGATGTCTGCCTTCTGCCCTTCCTCCTAGTCCCATGCAAGCTGCTGCTGGCAAGCTGCACTGCCACAGAAGTCTCCTCTGTAAGGGTGTGTATGGTGCAACAGCTTTCTTCTTTACGGTCTTCCGTAACAGAAGACAAGGGTTGGAAACAGTAGGGAGAAGTTATTGAAATCATTAAGTTTAACATTAACCTCTTTTCAGGTGTCTGCTAATATTCCAGGTAATTGTAATAATTGCAGATGTTACTACGAATGCCACGGAAACCTCAGGCGTCAAGAGAGACAGAGACTGGCCTGCCATGACCCTGCAGAACCATTAACCTGCACTGAGTTAAGACAGAAAATTCCCGAGCAAGGTGTTAAATTTCCACCCTGGTTTACTCTGCTGCTATCCTTCATTCTATATGGCAGGGGAGCATCTGACTGTTAAGAGATTAATTAGTAATTAAAGAGTTGGCTCACAAACATCACAAGTTCAGAGACGAAAGCAACCTAATCGTGTTAGAAAATAGTTAGAAATAGAAATTCCAGTCTCCTGGGATTTTCTTTTGAGGAGGAAATTTAAATAACTTGCTTTCGGACATACCAAGCTGACCCCACTAACTAGAAGTAATAAACAAATGGAGATATTTAAGCTGACATTTGAGCAGTGTCAAAGCCTTCTAAGCTTGTTCTGAGTAGATTAGTAGATAAGTGCTAGCCTTCCTATTCTGGGAAATGTTCCAAGGCAAGCATGAGGACTGATGATTTCATTTAACTCCAAAGTGGACAACACGGTATATTTAAATAACGCAAGTCATTTGCGTAATTCTTATGACAAGCTACCAGTTGACACGGTTGGTGTTGGGATAAAAAAACCTCTCTGCTTGGCACTGTATTGGAGGGCAAAACCTACATTTGCTCTCCCGTTCAATCAGTATGCAAAACTGTCATTCTTAGCATGGGGTGTGTAGTTTTCTCTGAAACGCAGAATGGATCTCATCTGATCTAATCCCAGAAAAACTGACTTCAATCTTTTTTGAAACAAGGGATATCATTAGATGTTTCACAGGCTCTGTAATACATTTGTAGGCTTATATAAGAGAGCAGCAAATAAATTCAGAGCCAGCTCCCTGTACCGCAGCAATATTGACAAATCTGCAAGTATTTTTGGTATATTGTTGGGAGAAGCTTGCCAACTATTGCTACTCACTCAGTTTTGCTGTATCTGTCGGTGATAACAAGTCCACAGAGCTGCTTTCAAAATAGTTCTTAATTATTTGCCCAAATGCATCTTTATTCAGCAAAATACACATGTAAGTCTCTCATATGTTCTGTGATTCTGACTTCAATCCAATTCCAGCGCTCAAGATTGCAGGGAAGAATCCTTCTAATATGATTACCTTGTAGGACATCAGTCTAGGGAAACGTTCAAAACTGAGCTTATAAAACAGAAGAACACTAGTTCTTGGCTATCAGGACTGTAAACCTCTAAATTAATGATTGTTCTGTCATTCCATTCTGTGCAACTCTAACAAGAAATAAAAGCAAGCTTTATCTTCAGCACTAAACCAGCAATCCTAAGCCTATTATGCAAGCAATGCTGGAAAAGTTTTCAGGTTTTATCCTCACCTATACGAAAGCCAGATCCACAAACAGACTTAATTACTTTAAGTGGAGGTCAAAACAATCCAAAATGGCGAATAATTAATCCATGAGTACCTCATTAGATCCCTAAAGCTTCAGGAGGCACCCCAAGCTTTTCCCGCTGAGGTTTCATACCGGAACTATTACAAGCTTGGCAGGCTTTGCACCTCATCGTTTACCTTCCCTTTCCTTAGAAACAAGGGGTGTTCGTTACTTACGTACAGCTAGGTGCGTTCAGCAGCATACTGGCAAGGCAGAGTTTGCCTATGTAACATACAGCAGCCAGAGCCATTTGCTTTTGAAAGGAAGAAGGAGAATTTCTGCAGCAAATCACTTCTTCCAGCTGTGCTCTAACAGCAAAGTAAGACAGTTATCTGGAGCCAAAGACACGACGTACATGATGGGTTTCGTGCTGCAAATCCAATTTAGATTCTTTGCTGAGGAAAGAACCTCAGCCTGGGAAGAGAGTGGGGATGTCCAACGCATTATCTCTTTGGTTCTTCCTTCTGGCTCGTTTAGACATACCTCCTGCTCCGTGAGTTGCCTGTGAATCCCATTCCTACCTGCCTGCTGGCCCTGTACAGAGGGGACAAGTGAGTGACAGAAATCTGAGATTAGTGCTGGGAGCTGCACATTTTAAAACTACGTACTGATATGCTGAACCTTGCTTAAGTCTTTGTGGACCCAAGCTTAAGGTCTTTTTATGTCCCCTTGGCAGTGTTAAAGAGATTTTGTTTACAAGGAACCAGGATCTTCACATTTATAAGTGCCATTTAATAATTGCATTTGAACATAATTATTAAAATGCATTTGAATGTATATATTAAAAGGTATTTTAGTTTTTTGTGGTGTATGAAAAAAATTTATGGACTATAACAAATTTATGACTTGCCTAAAAAGTTTTTACAATTGGTTGCCTGTTAAAAAATTGTTACCTAGTTGACAAGTCACATCTTCCGGTTCCAGAGTGACGTTTGCTCCCAGTCTTGTACTGAGGTAAGCTATATGTGACTTCAAGGCCCTCGATTCTGTCAAGTACACAAACACACAGCGCGCAAACCTCGTCCTGTTTCTTCCTGATATTCACATCCGTGATGCCAAGCAGAGCATCATCACCTTTTAAACACCTAGCGTGACTTACTTCAGTAAACTCTGACTTCTACATGGACTTGAAAATGTCATTGCAATTTGGTGGCCAAATAATTTCAGCCTTATTACACTGCATCTGTATGAAATGGGGAATTGGGCTCACCTTGAATTAGGTGTCTACCACGTTGGTAGAGAGGTAGGTGCCTAATGTACCGTTTGTAGATAGCGGTGATGAGTTCAACGCAGTCGGTGGAGCTGAGGGAGCAATTAATTTCACCCTAAAGTAGACAGCTCCACTTGATTGTCCGAAAAGCTCTCCAGGCTCCACCGAGGGCACTGACTACCACTCCGTTAGCCATAATCGGAGCTTGCCCGTGGCTCCTGAGCAGGCACTTAACCTTGTGGACACCCAAAATTATGGTGAGCCTCAGGTGTCACCGTTTTCCCAAGCGTGAGGAGCCAGGCTTCCCCAAGGCAGCTACAGATTCCAAATGTAAACCATCTTGGTAAGAACAGAAGTAAGCATACAGAATATACGTAGACTAACTCATGGTTTAGGCTGGTCTTAGCTACGCCCAAGCTTTGAAGGGCCCTTCCCTGTGCCTCAGGGCCTGGCGAGCGCTCCTCTGACAGGACCAAGCCACCAGGAGCTGCCCCCA